GCTGCAAGAGGACTCAGGGCTGCAAGAGGACTCAGTGCTGCAAGAGGACTCAGGGCTGCAAGAGGACTCAGGGCTGCAAGAGGACCCAGGGCTGCAAGAGGACTCAGCGCTGCAGGAGGAAGACTCAGTGCTGGAGGAGGACTCAGGGCTGCAAGAGGCCTCAGTGCTGCAAGAGGACTCAGTGCTGCAGGGGGCCTCAGTGCTGCAGGAAGACTCAGGACTGCAAGAGGCCTCAGTGATGCAGGAGGAGGACTCAGCGCTGCAAGAGGACTCAGGGTTGCAAGAGGACTCAGGGCTGCAAGAGGACTCAGTGCTGGAGGAGGACTCAGGGCTGCAAGAGGACTCAGCGCTGCAGGAGGTGGACTCAGTGCTGCAAGAGGACTCAGGGCTGCAGGAGGAGGCCTCAGAGCTGCAAGAGGACTCAGTGCTGCAAGAGGACTCAGTGCTGCAGGAGGAGGACTCAGTGCTGCAAGAGGACCCAGGGCTGCAGGAGGACTCAGGGCTGCAAGAGGACTCAGTGCTGCAGGAGGAGGACTCAGTGCTGCAGGAGGAGGACTCAGCGCTGCAGGAGGAGGACTCAGTGCTACAGGAGGAGGACTCAGGGCTGCAAGAGGACTCAGCGCTGCAGGAGGAGGACTCAGTGCTACAGGAGGAGGACTCAGGGCTGCAAGAGGACTCAGCGCTGCAGGAGGCCTCAGGGCTGCAAGAGGACTCAGCGCTGCAGGAGGACTCAGTGCTGCAAGAGGACTCAGGGTTGCAAGAGGAGGACTCAGTGCTGCAGGAGGACTCAGAGCTGCAGGAGGACTCAGGGCTGCAAGAGGCCTCAGGGCTGCAAGAGGACTCAGGGCTGCAAGAGGACTCAGCGCTGCAGGAGGACTCAGGGCTGCAAGAGGACTCAGTGCTGCAAGAGGCCTCAGGGATGCAGGCGGACTCAGTGCTGCAAGAGGCCTCAGTGCTGCAAGAGGAGGACTCAGTGCTGCAAGGGGACTCAGCGCTGCAGGAGGACTCAGTGCTGCAGGAGGACTCAGTGCTGCAAGAGGACTCAGTGCTGCAGGAGGAGGACTCAGTGCTGCAAGAGGACTCAGTGCTGCAAGAGGACTCAGTGCTGCAAGAGGACTCAGTGCTGCAGGAGGAGGACTCAGCACTGCAAGAGGACTCAGTGCTGCAAGAGGACTCAGTGCTGCAAGAGGACTCAGGGCTGCAAGAGGACTCAG